GCCAGCCCCTAAGTGAAGGCCAGGATAGACACAGCTGTCGGGTTTTGTGTGAACGGTCGCGTGCGCACGAGTGGGTTCATCGAAATTGTCCCGTTGCGCTTGTTAGGAATACAAGGCATCCTCTCAGAATTCAACATATACCCGCTATGGCCCTGAATCATCCGTACAAAGTTTGTCTCAGACCAGATTGCGGCCAAGGAAACAGGTCACAGTTCGAGGCTGTAGATGTAGGAGGCTGTGATACCAAATTATATGAATAGTCCAAATCGAGGTTTAGATCACCCTTATCTGTTGCGTGACAAAAATTTGCACAAGCAATTAAGTATACATATAAAGGAATTTATTTGGGCTATAAAAATTTACCGCACAAAAATAAAAAGCATCGTATTAGTCCCCACAGGCATGGAGCAAACATTTAGAAATATAAATAACAGCTCCAAGATGAAAATAAAAGGACCCATGCGGCAGTCAAATCAGTGAGGCCAATAAATTAATCACATACGTGGTTTTCATGCCTATGGAATGGAAAACCATAGTGGCCGTATAAATGGTATATGAAAGGACGTGTTGAATACTTTTGCCTATACTTGTACACATAAGAAAAATTGAAGGACAGCAAATGAGTGGTCGGAGGCCGACGTCAATATTCACATACTGTAATGAAGTACGGAGCAAAAATTAGCCAGATGATTAGGTGATTATGTACAGTGATGCTGGAGAGCAATAATTTGAACAAGCCTATATATACAAGATAGACGGACACAGTAGCCTAGGTCATTCCAATTTAGCAGGAGAAGTAGCCGCCTCTGAGGAGCCACCACTTTTGGTCGTGTTCGCCGAGCTGGATGAAAGAAAGTTGATTAAAGGGACGCTCATCTTACGAGAGTGGCGAGGAAGCTGTGCTCTGCGGGATTCCACTGTTTCGATCCCACCACCACAGCCATTAGATTGCTTTTTGACATGACGTCGAGTTTCCCTATTCTGTTCACACATGGTAGCAGCGATTATTCTTCTTCCGGCCCGAACCACAGCCTCAGCTAAGCCAAGGGGACTATCGAAGAAGGTCAAATGATTTTGAGTTGCGCAACCAATACAATCTAAACGATGCAAACTTGTGTCTGGATCGGATCGGCTGCCTGAACGTGCACAACCTGCCACATTGGAATCAATTGAAGAGTCTTCACTTGAGGAAGTCTGCGATACAAAGCTAGCTGCCTGGACCGCAGCTACTGGACTGGCGGTACCAACACAGTTTTCAGAAGTATTTGAGACTTCATTAGTAGAAAAATTGACAGATATTGCCGTAGAATCAAGATCTAAACCAACGAGACCTAAATAATAGAAGATAAATATATGATTGAAACAGTAACTGACAAAAAGCTGCCCAGCAATAAATATGGCTGAGCAGAGTAACGAAGTTA